TCTGAAGATTAATCAGAAAACTATGGAACTAAGGTAGATCTCAAGTAAGCCAACAGAAGCTCTTTGAAGGATGGCCTGGCAGTATAAACAGTTCTGCAAGGCAGAGAGGATTAGAGAAGCTATATAAAAGAATTCATACCATAAAATAACTTGGATTTTTCCAGCCCAGCATTGTAATCAGTAAAGATTGCAAAAGAGCAATCACAAACAGAGGATGATATTGAGGAAGATTTTCAAGGAAGAAAAAGAGACTGATCTTTGCTAGCAGATGGTATATCACGGAATACTTGGTAGGCAGGGCTAAATTGAGGTTTACATGTGACTTGCATGCTGGGCGTTTGCTTTTCAATAGTTTGAGCAGTTGACACGTAAATATTTTCTCAAAAATATTTAAAACCATACTGTCTCTGTTATCGAGTCACAAACAAAATTATAAGAAATATTTTGAACATTATCTTTAAAATTCAGTATTTCAAAATTTTGCAAGTTGTTTATTAACTGTCAAGAACTATAGAGTATGAGCAAAAGTTTTTGATATGTAAAGTAAATGCTTGTGGGAAAATGTAAAAATAAATAAATAAATGATAAAAAAAAAGAAAAGGAAAGGAAATGTATCAATAGTATGGATGGGCCAGCAGATGGTGTGGAGATTAAGGTGGCTAGATTCCACATGGCAGACTGTATTGTGAGAGTCCCAGACTCAGTGGCCTGAAAAACATTCTGGGCATGTGTGCATGCATGTCCAAACTCCCAAGGGGAGAATAGAAGAGAAGGGACTGCAACGTGGCCATCCACCCTGGGGGTGGTACTTTCTCACTCTCTCTCTCTTTCTCTCTCTCTGGCAAGGGCATATGTCCTATAGCAAAAATTAATAAAAAGAGAGAGAAAAACATGTAGCATATCAACACAATGGACTACTATTCGGCCTTAAAAAATAAGGAAATTCTGTCATTTTTGGCAATGTGGATAAACCTGGAGGAAAAAGATATTATCAGGCTAATCAGATGGCTGGGTCCCACATGGCCAATTGCACGGTCAGAATCCCAGACCCAGCAGCTTGAGACACTCCAGCCTCATGTGCATGTGTGCCCAAAGTTTCAAGAGGATGAGACCAGCAGTTGGCGTAACGGCTACGTCACTGGACTCCCATGTAGTCAACCGTGGTTCGAGTCCTGGACCCGGTGGCTTAGACTCACGCTGTGCGAGTGTGCGTGCATGCCCAGGATCCCGAGCGGAAAATGGAGAAGTGGGGATTGTGGAGTGGCCATCCCCCCGGGGGGGTAATTTCTCGCTTTCTGTCTTTCTGTCTCTCTCTGTCTTTCTGGTGAGCACACATGCCCTGTAGCAAAAGCAAAAAAAAAAAAAAAAGTAGAGGAGAATGGATTGTGCTGTGGTCACCATCCTCACTTTCCCTCTCTCTGTCTCTATCTCTCCAACAAACACGCATGTCTTAAAGCAAAAAAATTTTGAGAGAGATTTTTGCTATAGGGCACATGTGCTTACCAGAAAGACAGAGAGATGGAAAATGAGAAATCACTCCCCAGAGGGGATGGCCATGCCACAATCCCTTCTCTTCCATTTTTCTCTTGAGATTTTGGGTATGCAGGCACAAGTGCCCAGTGTGAGGTTTTTTTTTTTTCTTAGAATGATTTATTTTTAAATTTATTTATTTGTTTATTTATTTTTAAAAATTTTGACTAGAGGGAGACAGAGAGAGAAAGGTAAAGTGAGAAAGCAAGTCATCAGGTCCGGGACTCAAACCATGGTCAGTCATGTGGGAGTGTCCAGCACCTTAACTACCACGCCACCAGCTGGTCCCCCCCACAGTCTGAGGGTTTTTTAAAAATATTTATTTATTTATTTGTTGTTATTTTTTTTTTTTAATTTGATGAGAGAAGGACAGACAAAGAGAGAGAGTAAGCCGTTAGGTCTGAGACTAGAACTGCGGTCGGAAATGTGGGAATCTAACACCTTAATCAACATGGCACCTGCTGGCCCCTCCCAGTATGAATTTTTAAGCCATTGGGTCCAGGACTCAAGCTGCAGTTGACTACACAGGAATCCAGCAACATAACCATTGCGCCAACTGCTGGTCCCAGCAAATTTTTTTAAAAAGATATTCTTTATTACCTTTTTTCATCTGCACTTTCCCTAAACATACTTAATACCTTTTTATGTTCAAATTCTGAATCTTAAATATATTCAATCCTACACCATAATTCCAGGTAATCATGAATTATCAGGAAATCCTATGCCTTTGCTGTTCTCCCAACCTATTCCTTCTCTTTTCAAAACAATCAATTTTTATTCCTATTACTTTTCAGACACGAAATGTTCCATGCCTTTTTATTTACTTTTTCTTCCTTTTTAAAGAAAAGCTTCTTTCTTCTTCTTCTTTTTTAGAATTACCTTAATTTAATTAATTTATTTAATTTGACCAGAGAAGGACAGGGAGAGAGGTAGTGAGAAAGCAAGTCGCTAGGTCCAGTACTCGAATCATGGTCAACCATGTGGGATTCCAGGGCCCTTAATCACCACACCACCTGCTGGCCCCAGTTTCTTTCTTTCTTATGTGAGCTAGAAAGATACAGAAAGTAGGAAAGAGAGAGAGAGAGAATAAAAGAGATAGAGATAGGCAAGCTCAAAAGGGTCTTCATGCCCCAATCCACTCCTAACTTCAGCCAGTTGATCATGGTCAGAGTGTACTCAGTGTGTTCAGGGAGGTCTCCAGACATGAATCTGAAACATTTCCAAGTGGATCAGCCTTTCAGATTATTGTGTTATCATTGCACCACTACCTGGGCCTCTTTTTCTTTGCTTTTTATTCTCTTCCTCATCTGACTTTTACATCCTCTCTCTAATTTACATCATTGCTCTAATCATTCTCTACTGGCAACCTAAATTTTTCTTTCTATGTATCATAAAGTAAAATGGGACTCTAGAGCAAGGTTGTCAAAATGCAAATCCTGTCTCAAGTTATTTAACCTCTGTTTCGTAGTCTTCTCATCTATAAATGGGTATAATAATATTAAAATCTACTTCATGAAAGGTGTTGTGGGAAACAGCAGTTAGCGTAATGGCTATGTCGCTGGACTCCCACGTAGTCGACCGTGGTTCGCGTCCTGGACCCGGTAGCTTAGAACTCACGCTGGGCGCGTGTGCGTGTGTGCCCAAGATCCCGAGAAGAGAATGGAGGAGAAGGGATTGCGGTGTGACCATCCCCCCGGGGGGTGATTTCTCGCTTTCTGTCTCTATGTCTCTCTCTGTCTGTCTGGCGAGAACACGGGCCCTATAGAGAAAACCTCTCAAAAAAAAAAAAAAAAAAGGTATTGTGAGGGTTAATTAATGAGTTTATGGTGAGCACACAGAATAGTACTGGTAGCTGCCAGATGGTAGTGTAGTGGCAGAATGTGTCACTGTGAGACACATGGATGGTTCCTGGTTCAAGTCTAGAAATCTCCCTGAGAATGCCAGGCAAGTGCTTGCTGATAATCTAGATATGCTAATAATCCAGGTATGCTAATGATGCAGGATGGGGTGAACTGCAGCATCAAGACCCTATAGGGAGTATTTCTCTCTCTCTCACGCTCCCTCTCTTTTACTCATGGAAGAAATAAATAAATAAACTTTAGAAAACAAAAAATAGTGACTGACAAACAATAAACTCTTTTTAAATTATTTTTAAATTTAACTTTATTTCTTTCTTTATTTAAATTTGACCAGAGAGGAACATAGAGAGAGAAGGAAAGTGAGAAAGCAAGCTGCCAAGTCTGGGACTCGAACCATGGTCAGCCACGTGGGAGTCCAGTGCCCTTAACCATGATGCCACCTGCCAACCCCGACAATAAGCTTTTAAAACCTACTGAAGATAGAAAAATTAGGAAGATAACATGAGAAAAGGAGAAAGTTACATGACAAATTTAACTATTTTATTATTTAATTTTACTTGTCATTATTATTATTGTTACTATTTTAATTTGCTGCAGAGCAAGAGCACTTGAGAGAAAGAGAAAATGACAAGCAAGTTGCCAGGTCCAAGTCTTGAACACCAGTTGGCCATGTAATAATCCAGTACCTTAACTACCATACCACCTCTGCTGGTCCCAACTGAGTTCATCTTTACAAACATATCTCTTAGGGCCAGCATATGGTGTAGTGGTTAAGACGCTGGACTCCCATGTGGCCAACCACAGTTTGAATCTCAGACCCGGTGACTTGAAAATCATGCCAGCACATGTATATGCATGCCCAAAATTCCAAGTGAAGAATGGAGTAGAAGGAATTGTGGGGTAGCTATACCCCTTGGGGAGTGCTTTCTTGCTCTCTCTTTCTGTCTCTCTGGTGAGTGTATGTACCCTACAGCAAAAATATCTCTAAATAAATAAATAAGTAAACAAACATATTTGACTACGATAATAAAATATTTAGATTTCTTTCTTTAAAGAATTATTTATTTATGTAATTAATTCCATTTGTTACTATTATTTTTTAATTTGACCAGAGAGAGAAAGGGAAAGTGAGAAAGCAAGCTGCCAGGTTCAGGACTCAAACCATGGTCGGACATGTGGGAATCCAGTGTCTTTAACTACCATGCCACCTGCCAGCCCCCAAAATTTAGATTTCTAATGTTCAAAATATTTCATGAAAATGTCCTCATTTGCTTTTATAGTCAGTTTAGAAAAAAAAAGATAAGCAGCAAGGTTTATTATTCAAGTTTAACAGAAAAATGAAGCACAAAGAAAGAAAAACAGGTATCTAAAGTGATACAACCAAAAAGTGAAAATAACCCAGAATCTCTATATTGACAGGCTTCTCAACTCTGTCACGTGACCAACTTTAGGACTGCGTTGACATGGAAATCAAATCAATTGAATACTAAAGTTTTAATCATCATTGAAAGAAGAAGAACCAGTGATATCCTCCGATGTCCTACAGATTAGAGGTCTCTTGGAAACATTATTTAAACAAAAGAAGCATTATTGTGCACAAGAACAACTTACCTTAGGGTGTACCATGATGATTTTGCGTAAAAAATGCTTTATAACCAGACAATCTGTCATCAATGTTTTGGACTTTTCATCAACCTGTAACACAACAAAAACACCCACCACAAATACACAGACCCAAGAACACAATTGAGTCAAATGATAGTATTTCTTCCTTCAAAAGCATCTATACTAGGGCCACCAGGTTGTGTGGTAGTTAAGGCGCTGGACTCCACATGGAGGGACTGCACATGTGTGTGCGCACGCACACGCACACGCACATGCCAAAAATCCCAAAAGGAGAATGGAGGTGAAGGAACTGTAATATGGCCCTTGGGAGGGTGATTTCTCATTTTTCCTCTCTCAGTCTCTCAACTATGTCACAGGTTTTTGGACAGCCAAGGGAAAATCATCTTTGGGGATGAGAAATATACACAAAAGGGAATCTAAACGGCTGTCACTTCTTGGGTTAGAGTACTTATGTTCATGGAACTTCAGGAGACATGTGAACAAAGACTAGAGTGAAACCCACAATGTTAAAACCACTGTTTGAAAGAAATTTAAATATAATGCAGACTGGAGGTAAGAAGAGTAACTCTGTCTTTAATGTGCTTTGAGACAGTCTATATTATGAATGTGAATGGAGTCAAAAAGTAGACAATAAAAGGAACTTATTTTTGAACACCAACTCATTCATTCAAACATTTATTTATAAGGAAAAGCTATAGAACAAAAAATTCGAGGCCAGCCAGTGGCATGTTGATTACGGCACTGGCCTCCCACATCACTGACTGCAGTTCAAGTCCTGGACCTAGTGACTTGAAATCACACAGGGCACGTGTGCGTGCAAGCCCAAAATCCCAGGAGGAGAATGGAGAAGGGATTGCCCAGGGGGCGATTTCTCACTTTCTCACACTGTATCTCTCTAGTGAGCACATACATATTCCCTGTGGCAAACCCCCCACCACCACCAAAAAAAGAAAAGTTAAAACATCAAAAGACCTGTGTTCTAGTACTGGCTCTGTAAAAATTACTTCAGTAACCATAAAAAAAATAAATACAAATTTAAAAACCCTTACTGTGGGACCAGCAGATGGCATAATGGTTGCATCACTGGACTCCCATGTAATAGACCATGATTTGAGTCCTAGACCTGGTGGCTTAAAACTCACACTGGCTGCATGTGCATGTATGCCCAAAATCCTAAGAGAAGAATGGAGAAGAAGGAATTGTAGCATGGCCATCTCCGGGGGGTGGGGGGGGAAGGGGATGATTTATTTCTTTCTGTCTGTCTCTCTGTCTTTCCAGCTAGTGTCATGCACCCTATAGCAAAAATCTCTCTAAAAACAAACAAACAAAAACTCTTGATGCTCTAGATCTTATTTCTTAATCTGCAAAATGGGGATAAAATGAACCCTTTCTGGGACCAGCAGATCGGTGTAATGGTTATGCGGCTGGATTCCCATGTAGTCAGTCAGGGCTCAAGTCCTGGACCCAGTGGCTTAAAATTCATGCTGGGAGCATGTGCATGTGCACCCAAAATCCCAAGAGGAGAATGGAAAAGAAGGGATTGCAGTATGGCCATTTCTCCTGGGGTGGGGTGGGGGATGATCTCTCACTTTCTGTCTCTTTGGTGAGCACATGAGCCCTATGGCAAAAACTTCTCTTAAAAAAAATTTACCCTTTCTACTTCCCAGAATTGTTTTAAGATTCTTATATCTAAAAGTATGTACTATGATAATAATAATAGATATCATTTTTTGAATGCTTCCTATGTGACAAGCAGGTACTACATATATTGTCTCATAGCAATCCTGTAAGGTAGGTATTACTATCTCTTCTTTGCAGATTAAGAAAAAAATTGCTTGGGTCATCAGGTAGCATGGAGGTTACGGTTCTGGACTCCTACGAGGTTAACCACTGTTTGAGTCCCAGACCTGGTGGCTTGAAATCACACCACGTGTGAGTGCCTGTGTGTCCAAAATTCAAAGAGGAAAATGGAAGAGAAGGAATTGTGCCATGGCCCTTCTCCCTGGGGGGTAATTTCTCACTGCTTCTCTCTGGCAAGTATACACACTCTACAGAAAAAGAAACTAAAAAAAAGAAAAAGAAATAAAAAATGGCCAAGAAAAGTTAAGTAACTTGCCTAAGGTCGCTCAACTGATGTTAGAGCCTGAATTTGACTCTAAGTGTTTCTAATACCAATTGCCTGAGCAATATACTGTGTACACTAATATACTATAACACCTCCCTATAATATAAGATTTACCATTAATAACGGTTTTCTCTATTTGAAGAATGGTGTCAAAGCATCTTACTTATACTACTTTATTTAATCTTCACAAAAATCCCATATTTTAAAGAGTCTCAAAGAGGTTAAATAACTTGCCCATGGTTAGCCAGGTCGATTTAGCTCCAGATCTTTAATATCAATCACTTTATATTGACTCACTATATATATATGTGTATATATATTTTTTTTGAGAGGTTTTTGCTATAGGGTGCATGACTGTGGTTCAAGTCCTGGACCTGGTGGCTTAAACTCATGCCTGGTGCATGTGTATGCATGCCTAATCCCGAGAGGAGAATGGAGGAGAAGGGATTGTGGCATGGCCATTCCCCTGGGGGGTGATTTCTCACTTTCTGTCTCTCTGTCTCTCTCTGTCTTTCTGGTGAGCACACGTACCCTATAGCAAAAACCTCTAAAAAAAAAAAAAGAAAAAAAGAAAGAAATGAAATGAAATGGTTTCTTAAAAACATTTTCTGTACTTAAGACTTCCAAAACAATCTCTTGGAACAGTTTCAAATCTCTGTAACCTTGGTGATTATAGGGTATATCATAGAGAGGGCTAATTATATCTATCAGTAAGACAACCAAGTAAGTGAATGTTACTTTAGCAGCTATCAGAGGGGCTACAATTAATAACGATGATATGTACTATTTACTGAACACCTGCTACATTCCAAGCAAGTAGGAAATACCCCCATTTTATAGAAGATGATAATGAGACTCAATAAGCTAATTAATTTGTCCAAGGCATACAGAGTTAATTAAATGGCAGCACCGAGATTCAAATCTAGATCTGACTGACTCTAAAATTCACATTCTACTATGCAGTGCTGCCTCTCCAAGAATTTCATTTTCTGTGCCTATAACTAGCTATCTGAATGAGATAATATATATTCCATCATCATTATTTATGGAGCCTGACAGACAATGCTTATTTGTATTACTACTCAATATATTCATTTATTCACTCAGAAAACACTAATGTGGCTTATTATGTAGCTGGGTCTAAAGAGGTAAATAAGATGATCTTTGAATTAGAAGAGCTCACAGTTCAGTAGAAAAAGAAAGACAATTTATGTGATAATATAAAAAGTTTTACAATTTAGATATATGAAGTGTTAGAGAAACATATAAGAGGGACTAGTACCTAAGAGGTTGAGAATGTAAACTAATGTCAATCTAATGTCAGGTCAGTAAAAGATAGCTAACACAAAGCAAACAGCCCCTTATAGGATCTACTTATAGAATTATTAGAAAGAGAGAGACTAGAAACCCAATAGCCTGGCCTCATACTTACAGAAGCAATGAACTTACTTAAGTACTCTCATGAAACAATAGATGCTGCCAACCCTGGGCATAGAAACTACTATTTAATCATATGGTTTTAGCCTTTAAATATAACTAGGGCCAGCAGGTGGTGTGATGGTTAAGGCACTGGGCTCCCTCATGGCCGACATGGTTTGAGTCCCGATATGGCAACTTGAAGATCATGTGGGCATGTGTGCGTGTGTGCCCAAAATCCTCAGAGAAAAATGGAGCAGAAGGGATTGTGGTGTTGCCATCCTCCCTGGGGAATGATTTCTTACTTTCTCCCTTTCTATCTTTCTCTGTCTCTCTCCAGAGAGCACACACACAAAAACCTAAATACATACACACACACATAACTAATTATATGACAGGATATAGAAGTATATTTTCAAATATAAACTTATACAGTTTGTATTTGGGCCTTACATAACTTTCTAGAAGAAAGCCTCTCTCTCTCTCTCTTTCTCCCCCTCCCCCGCCCCCGACCAGGCTTCCTTTCCCTTAGATAGATACATATATATATAAAGATACAGAGGTACAAGTATATAGACATGCCTGTGCACATACATATATACATATGTTTGAATGTGTATATATTGGGTTGTTGGAAAGGTCATGATGTATTTTTTTCTATGCAAAAATGTGTCATGACTTTTCTGACAACCCATTTGTATGTGTGTGTGTGCGTGCACATGCATGTGTATATAAACATATCTCCATCTATTTTATCATTTAATGTCATTACAAAAATAAATACAAAACTAGATAAAGGTATGGAGAATTTGTAGTCAGGGGCCGGCAGGTGGTGTGGTGGCTAAGGGTGCTAGACTCCCACATGGCCGACCAGTTTGAGTCCTAGACCTGGTGGCTTGCTTTCTCACTTTCCCTCTCTCTCTCTATCTGGTCAAATTAAACAATAAATAAATAAAGTTAATTAAAATAATTATTAAAAAAATATTTTGTAAAATCAGATTGCTTTTGGAGGGACACACCACCCAGGCTAATGAAACCCAAGATTCAGGATTCACTACAAGAATAAACAAAAAATACAGTAGTTTTCCTAAATAAGGCTTTCTTTGGTCTTCCTTGGGATTAGTTTTTCTCACTTACCCAGTCAGTAGATCGTTTCTAATGGCTTTTTCATAGCTATCTCTGCTAAATAGTCTTTGCTATGAATTTTGCTACTCAACCCTCAACTGAGGCATATATGATGAAATATTTTGTAAACTCCCCTTTTCTCTTCCCATTCTCTTCATTCAGAGAGCTTTGAAGTAATGGTCTAGTACTAGAGACAATGAGATATACTTACACTTTGAAGTAATCCTTGTTCCCTCGAGGTTAATGCCACTGACTGCACTATTCCTTTATCTCTCCTCATCTCCACTGCCAGCTGACTTTTGGTCACTAAGCTCACAGTTTTCCTCTATACTTCTAGTCCTGCCATCTTATTGACTGACTTCCACATCCAAGTAGATGTCAATCTAAGGAACAACTTAGTCTCACAGTTCTCCAACCTCTTCAACAACAATGACCTTGACCCTTACTCATGTCTACCTACATCATTGCTATAGCTTGAAACTGTTCCATTCTGGAAACCTTAAAGTGAAATGCCCCACTCTTATGTAAAAAGCAGTACACCAGGTGTTAATAGTGGCTGCCTGCAAAGGCCAGCTTTTTGGGTCATCAGAAATGTCACGACACATTTTACATAACTTTTCCAGTGACCCAATATTTGTGTTCTAAATAATCACTTTGGGACTGGCCCCATACCCTGGTGGTTAAGGAAGTCAGATCCCACATGGCCAACTACACATTTTGAATCCTGGACCCAGTTACTTGAAAACATGATGGGCACATATGCACATGTGCCCCAAATCCCAATGGGATGGAGAAATGGAGGAGAAGGGACTGCACCATGACCATGTCTCATTGGGGGTGCTTTCTCCCAATTCCTCTTTCTCTCTTGGTCTGTCTCTTTCTCTAGCAAGCAAACATGCCCTCTGACAACTGGGTAAAATTTTTCACTTTGGTTATACTTTGATTTTTCTGATGATGGCATAAGGAAAAACAAATAAGAAAAACTATTTCTCTTATAAAAACCTCCTATTCTGGTGACATATGGTAGTGTAGTGGTAAAATGCAATACTCTGTGAGGCTGATTCACATGGAAAGATTCTTGAGTCAAGTCTGGAGACCTCCGTTGATGCACCAGGTATACAAATGCCCATGATCCAGAACCGGCTGAAAGATGGTGTGGATCATGGCATTAATATTCTGTTGGGAGTGCTGTCTCTCTCTGTTTCACACTCATAGAAGAAAGAAAAAGAGAAACTTCAAAAGAAAAACTTCCTAGTCTTCCAATCGTGTGCACACTTTATGCCCAGTAAATGTTTTACAGTCTCATCAAGACTAGCGACCCCTTTCTGTTGGGTTAGGTACCCTTCCTTTACACTACTATAGCATTCAGTGCTTACATCTATCAGGATATATGTCATACTGTATGGTAATTACTTGCTCACTTAGCAATCTTTCCCTTTACATTGTAAGCTCCTTAGAACCAAGTAACATATCTTACAACTGTGCACATATAGTACCTAGCTCAGTGAGACTGACTTGAACACAGGCTTTTAATGAATGAATATTAAAATAGCACATATCTACATGAGTCAAACTTTGCTTCAAGTTCTAATTCTGCCTCTTAACTTTCAAACGACATTGGTAAAGTTGGTCAAATTCTCTGAATCACAGTTTTCTTATTTATAAAATGGGGTGCTAATCCTTTGCTATCCACTTCATAAACTTGTCAAAGTCTTAAATTATATACAAATAAATATTAGGCATACAGATTATCGTTGCTTGTTCAGACTGGCTAAAATATATTACCTCATTTCCTAGAACTGCTTTTTTGGTTCACTGGAATTACTTTTTTATTGCTACTTGACATTAATAGTTTCAAAGTTGACTAACCATTAATTGCTGTACACTGTTTACTTTTCATTCTCCTAAAGAAGATAAGGCACAACCAGGAATATTTGTTGTTTCAATACTGTACCCATTCTTACAGAAGAAGCATGTAATCATTCAAACATGGAATAAGGCTTCTCAGGTGCTTCCTGAGAGACTGTTTAAAGCACTAATTATTTATGTCTCTACCAGCTCCTTGGAAGAAACAATAAAAGATCATAGAATTGTTAGGGGAATGTAAAATATAATCATCACTCTCGTAAATCTAGACAACAAATAAATCAATAAAGAGATCTCTAACCCAACCTAATAAAAATGTATCCAAATAGGATATGCACTGGAATCAATTTTTATCAGGAGATCCAAATTCAAATAAGGGCTTATTTCAGTGGTTTACAAATTATCTACACATTAGGAAGCACTTGGAATTTAAAAAATTCCAACCTGAGGTATACTGTGTGCGGGTCCAATGGGCTGGAGGACTAGAGGAAAGGGATCACAGCATGATCGGACCCTGTGAAGGGTGCTCCTCTCTCTCTCTTACTCTCATGTATATGCACATGTGCTCTAGCATGAACAAAGAAAAATAAGTGAAAAGTAAAAACATCCCAAAGCCTAAGCCACATCTGTTATGGTTTAAATTGTATCTCTCAAAATTCCTTTGTTGAAGCTCTAACCTTCAATGTGACTGTATTTGGAGATAGAACCTTAAGGTAGAAATTGAGGTTAAATTAAGTCATAAACGTGGGGCCCTAATCCAAAAGGACCAGTGTTCTTATAAGAAGACACCTCATAGATCTCTCTTTCTCCATGCACACATAGAAGAAAGGACATATAAGGCTACAGCAACAAGGTAGTAATCTGCAGGCTGGAAGAGAAGCCTTATAAGAAACCAATCATAGTGGCATCTTGATCTTAGAATTCTAGCCTCCAGAACTGTGAGCAAATAAATCTCTAAGCTATCTAGCCTGTGGTACTTTGTTATGGCAGCTCAAGCAGACTAATAGAACATCCAAGATCAGTTAAATCACAACTTCCTGTAGACATCAGTGTCTTGAAAGCTCTCTGAGTGATCTAATATCTACACAGGCAAGTTAGGGAAGCAATTTCTTAACTTAGAACTGTGAAAGACGTGGGCTTCACTTTCCTGTTGTTAGATTTGCAGAAAAATAAGATTCAAGTAATCAGTAATTTACAGAACCACAACAAGACCTGCCTCAAAAATCATCTGGAAGGATGTTACCCTTGATATGTCCTGAGAATAGCTGCCTTCCGCTGAAATCCAAGTCAGCTTTGCAGAGAATCCAGGTAACGCAGACTGTATTTCTGTGAGAAGAAATTGCAACAAAGTGGAACAAGAAGTTTGGATAAGCATCAAAGTTTCTGGAATTGTTTATCAAACTGATGAGCCAAGAAGGCTTTTCCCTGATGAAAAGATTATCTGCAAAATTTAAAATATGACTGGAAATGGCTATGCATCAGCAAATTGCTTGAACATTTAGCATTACTTTATGGGTTAAGACATTTAATCTCATGTTTTCAATTTTTCACATTCGCTAAATCACTTTATATTTTCAGTTAGTTTTCACAAGGTCATGCCCAATGCCAGATTGCTAGAATTCTTAAGAACTGATAGTTCTAGCTGATATTCTTGTATTTTTAAATTTTTTCTTTCTTTATTTTTATTTTATTTATTTATTTATTTATTTATTGTGATAGGATATGTGCACTCCCTGGAGACAGTGAGAGAAGAATGAGAAAGCAATACTCAGCAGTATGGCCATGTCACAATCCCTTCTCCTCCATTCTCCTTTCAGGACTTTTGGCATGCATGCACAAGTGCACGGTTTGTTTTTCAAGCCACTAGGTCCAAGCCTCAAATCGCAGTTTAAACGTGTGGGATCCAGCTGCCTTAACCACCATACAATTGGCTGACCCTTATTCTTGCTTTTTGTTGTTGTTGTTTCGTTTTTGCTATACGGTGCGTATGCTCTCCAGAGAGAAACAAAGAAAGAGAGAGAGAAAGTGAGAAATCACCCCCAGGGAAGATAGCTACACCACAATCCCTTTTCCTCTTGGGATTTTGGGCACACATGCACATGTGCCTGGTGTTAGTTAAGCTGCTGGGTCTGGGATTCAAATCACTGTCATCCATGTGGAAAACCAGTGCCTTAACTGCCATGCAATCTGCTGGCCCCTATTCTTGTATTTTTAAAATAAACCTTTTTTTTTTTTTTTGGAGAGGTTTTTGCTATAGGGTGAGTGTGCTTGCCAGAAAGAGAGAAACAAAGAGTCAGAAAGCGAGAAATCACCCCCCGGGGGGATGGCCACACCACAATCCCTTCTCCTCTATTCTCCTCTTGGGCACGCATGCACACGTGCCTGGCGTGATTTTAAGCCACCGGGTCCGAAACTCAAACTGCAGTCGACTACATAGGAATTCAGCAACAAAGCCATAACATCAACTGTTGTTCCCAAATCAATTCATTATTTAATAAACACAAATCAAGAATAAGTGAATTAATTTAAAGGTAAAAGTAGAAAAATTCAAGAATTACTGTTTCAGGGGACCAGCAGTTAGCGTAATGGCTATGTCGCTGGACTCCCACATAGTCAACCGCGGTTCGCGTCCTGGACCCAGTGGCTTAAACTCACACTGGGTGCGTGTGCGTGTGTGCCCAGGATCCCGAGAGGAGAATGGAGGAGGAGGGATTGTGGTGTGGCCATCTCCCCTGGGGGGAGATTTCTCACTTTCTGTCTCTCTTTCTGGCAAGCACACTTGCCCTATAGCAAAAACCTCTAAAAAAAAAAAAGAATTACTGTTTCAGGTAGACACCTAATATAGTATGTTCTTTAATGAAATAGTCTTTAACAAAGAAAACCTAATTTTTTTTTTTGAGAGGTTTTTGCTATAGGGCAAGTGTGCTTGCCAGAAAGAGAGACAGAAAGTGAGAAATCTCCCCCCAGGGGAGATGGCCACACCACAATCCCTCCTCCTCCATTCTCCTCTCGGGATCCTGGGCACACACGCACACGCACCCAGTGTGAGTTTAAGCCACTGGGTCCGGGACTTGAACTGCGGTCGGCTACATAGGAGTTCAGAGACATAGCCATTACCCCAACTGCTGGTCCCAAGAAAATCTAATTCTTACAGATTTAATTTGTGAATTAACTATTTGGTGTACTTATATAGATTGGCTCAGAACTATCTTTCTATAAGCATCAGTGAGCCCTGGATAATCAACAACAAATATAAAGGTATGTGCTATCTCTTCTCCATACCCTGGCACTTACATTACAAAAGAAAGAAAAAGATGGGAACCAGCAGTTAGCGTAATGGCTATGTCACTGGACTCCCACGTAGTCGATCGTGGTTCGCGTCCTGGACCTGGTGGCTTAAAACTCACGCCGGGCGCGTGTGCGTGCGTGCCCAAGATCCCGAGAGGAGAATGGAGGAGAAGGGATTGCGGCGTGACCATCCCCCCTGGGGGGTGATTTCTCGCTTTCTGTCTCTATGTCTCTCTCTGTCTGTCTGGCGAGCGCATGCGCCCTATAGCGAAAATCTCTCCAAAAAAAAAAAAAAAAAAGAAAAAGATCAAACTTCACATTTTATGAAATGTCATACCTTATTTCCCTTTTACATTATATAATAATTTAAAAACTAGATGTGGGAACAGCCCTGCGGTCTAGTGGTTGAAATTTCTCAGTGCCAAATGGCAAACTGCACAGTTTAAATACAGGCCCTGGAAACTTGAAAAAATATCAGGCATGTGCGTGTGTGTGTGTGCGTGTGTGTATGCGTGTGTGTGAAATTCCAACAGAATGGAGAAATGGGGAAAAAATTGCAGCACGACCATGCACCAATGGGGAGTGCTTTCTCCTCCTTCTGTCTCTCTCTGACAAGCACACACACACACATTCTGGCAAATTAAAAAAGGAAAGAAAGAAAAAGGTCTACATGTGGATAAAGATAGATGATATCTGATTAACCCAATTAAAAGATGGGAAAATGAGCTGAACAAAAATCTCTCTAAAGAAGACATATGAACAGCCAAAAAGCATATGAGGAAATGTTCAACATCCCTCATCATAAGGGAGATGTAGATAAAAACCACAATGAGATACCACCTAACCCCTGTCAGAACGGCGAAGATTAAACATATAAAAAGTGGTAAGTGTTGGTGGGGATGTGGTGAAAGGGGAACTCGTCTACACTATTGGTGGGAATGTAAACTGGTCCAGCCACTGTGGAGAACAATAGGGAGGCTCCTCAAAGATCTGCAGATAGAAGTACCATTTGACCCAGCAATCTCACTTCTGGGTATTTACCCAAAAGACAGGAGAACGCTCAGTCAGAAAAGTACTTGCACATCAATGTTTATTGCAGCATTATTCACAATTGCCAAGACATGGAACCAACCTAAATGTCCACAAACGGGCATAAAAGCAGTGAAAATAGTTAGGGATGCTGAAGACAGTGTGGAACAGGGCAGGAGAAGGGAAGAATATAGAGAAGGATAGCAAGAGAACAAATAGAGAAGCATGACATTAGTGGGACACAGAAATGGTTTATTACCTGTTGATGATAACATGTATAGTATTCTCAAGTGGACTGGTCTGAGAAACATTTCATATTGGGTAAATTCTTTTTACAAGCAAAATGATATATAGTGATTGAATGTTTAAAAAACAATGAGAATGATAATAATAATCTGGAAAAAAATGATGAAAAGCTATTTGATGATGATGTAGATAGTAATGTCTTTGTATTGACTGATATGCATGGTATTCCTTCTGGAAAAAGAAATGTAATACACTGTAAAGATATATGTGATTCAATGTAATATAAACAAGATTATGATAACAAATTTTTTAAATTAATAAAAAATAAATAATGACAAAAATATACATATCTCAGTGTTGTTTTACCTTGCATATGAGGTTGACAATGTTTATATTTTATACAAGAATTCAACTTTAAAAACGTAATACTGCTCTAACTACACAGAAAGGATGAGAAAGGGGAAACATTTATCTGTGTGTCCTGGAGAGGGACTTGTATGAGAGGGCCACATCCTTTCTGTGCATTGCAGAAAAATCAACAGTTTCTGCCATAGGGCATGTACACTAACCTGAAAGAGGCAGAGACATAGGGGAAAGTGAGAAATCACTCCCGGGGGATGACTACACCACAATTCCTTCTCCTCTGTTCTCTCAGGATTTTTGGCATGCACGCATACATGTCCAGTGTGATTCTCAGGCCACAGGGCCCGGTACTCAAACCACAGTCAGCCACGAGGGAGTTCAGCACCTTAACCATCACACCATCTGTGGCCTCAATAACCTTAAAATTAAGCTAATAAAAATACTTATATTATCATATTGCTTGAAATGTGAAGGTAGATATCAAAAGAACTTAATGAAAGATTTGAATGTGAACGCTTCTGAGAGAAATATGGGTGGGTGAAATGAAGGATGGCGGGTTTTTTTTTTATTCTTTTTTTAAGGATTATTTTTATTTGGGATCAGCAGTTAGCATAATGGTTATGTCGTTGGACACCCACATAGTCGACAGCAGTTCGAGTCCTGGACCCGGTGGTTTAAACTCACGCCAGGCACATGTGTGCGTGCGTGCCCAAGATCCTGAGAGGAGAATGGAGAAGGGATTGTGGCGTGGCCATCCTCCCTGGGGGGTGATTTCTCGCTTTCTGTCTTTCTGTCTTTCTCTGTCTGGCGAGCGCACGTGCCCTATAGCAAAAACCTCTCAAAAGAATTATTATTTAACTTTATTTATTATTATTATAGTTATTTTCCAGTTTGATCAGAGAGAGACAGAGAGAGAGAGGGAAAGTGAGAAAGCAAGCAACCAGGTCCGGGACTTGAATTGTGATTGGCCATGTAGGTGGCACCTTTAACCACCACACCACCTGCCAGCCCCCAGGATGGTGTTTAAGACTTCAGAACTGTCCGTTTTAAAAATATATACATATAACTTTAATAAGATTAAAATATCATTCTATGCAAGGAAATTATGTTTTGAACATAAACAGCAGAGTACGCATTCTTTTATACTTTAATGTGTTTATATAAAATAATCTTGCAGGTTATGTCTCACCAATACCAACAATAGACCTTCTACTTTCTCATAGTTACATACTATTTCATGAATGCATATATTTGTTGATTTGCAAATTTATAACTATATGTGTTGAAATATTATAATCCTAGAAGTAAAATCCTAGGTCAAAATTTTGAAGTATTTCTATATCCCCCTCCAAAAACTTTTGCACCTAACCTTACAGCCTCACCAGCAATGTTTGAGAGTA